AATTATATCTTGATCCTATGTGAATCAGTATTGGCCAATTCGTAACCAATATCCACGCTTGCTTTATAATAATAAAGTCGTGGGCTATGTTTGAGTGCTGTGAGTTTGTACGTGGAAGTTAAAGTCATTATTCTAACTAAAGTTATAGTGTGTAAGCCTAACCAAATCAGAAAAGTGCAAAGGCCAGGAAAGGTCACGTCGGTGTCCATTTTCACGGCCCAAATAGCGTGTGTGCCATGCGTGGATAGAAAGGTCATTTTGGTGCCTTGCTCCAGAGTCATCTTTGATATGATTAAGCAAATTCTCTGAATTTTAGATGAGAATTTTTGGGGGTAGTTTGGGGTGCCTAACCATGGCATATGAAAAAAAAATTAAAAACGTAATCAAATAACATTGGTGACGAGTGTGGCTATTCATTGTTATACAGTATTATGAAAAATTACTTTTTTACTGTAGTTTGCCGATTTAAATAAAGAAAACGAATGATTTGCACATCAAACCAAAATATCAATATTTCTTTATAAAATATTCATCAACAAACCCATACGACAAGCACCGACTATAATATTTGTGTAAAAACCACTCTCATTGCTCTTGTATCCAGCTGGTCACTGCAGACTCTCCCCCACGTGACGTCGTAAAAGTCACCTGACTGGATGACGTCACACCAACCACCTGTTCTCACCCAGAGATCACAGAACGAGAACAGCGGAAGAGGAAGCGGCATAAAACGACAGACCTGTTGGCAACAGATTGCGCAGTGCTTGATCTAAGGACATAATAAAAGACAAAACAAGAATAATATCCCCCTAGTTCGCAGAAAAAGAGATTTAATGTCAGCCCCCGACTGAAGGTTAAGATGCAACACGCTACTACAAAAATGCAACAGTATTTGCATGTCATGAAAAAAAAGTACTGCTTGTTATGTACGCTGCAGAACAATACACATCAACGCTGTAGCTTTGAAGGACACCTTGAATTAAAGAAACTGCTGGTTGTACGGTTTCTGGCATATCAGTCAACAGTTATGTGTATATAATTTCTAATAGTAAATGATCAATTCATCCCAGTTTTATCGTGGTCATAACCACGTGTTACTTCTAACCTTAGCGCTCATTACTTTGACTTGGGGATCTCAAATGATATTTTAGCCCTACAAGCCACCTGACCTAACTTTGACTGACATGTGTACGTAACTCCAGTCAAGGCCACCGACTCTTTAAAATGATTTACTAAGTTTTTCACCCTGTCAACTTTGGGAGTAAAGTGATGAGTGAACACTAAGTGCATATCATCTTCTTAGCGGTACCCCAAAGAAAAAAAAATGGTATGATAAAAGCAGGGTCTGATTTATGAAAGAGCGTTGTTGTTGTTATTGTTATTGTTGTTGTTTGAATTATTCAACTTTAAGAAAGGAGATGGGCAGATATAACACAATACATATTATTAACATAAACTTAACACATATACGACTACCAAAAAAATGATACGATGTTGTTTCATTTTATTATTTCATCATGAAAAGCACATTTCATCGCCACCTCTGTTCAAATTTACTCCACGAAGAGTCACAGTGTGTTTGGCAGTGGAATGTGATTAGAATAACCAGTATGTTAGCTTGTTGTGACTATTGACAAAAATGGTATCTAAACGGTATGTAATTTTATTAATTAATTAAAGAAGTAAATTTAACGGTGTCTTTATCAATATTCAACCCACGTAAAATTATCGACAGTTGTTCACCCAGTCCGTCAGCCGGAGGTCAACAGCCGGCATCACGACCCGACCAATATGTGAAACTGTATAAATAGTAACTTTGTGAACAGTTTGCATTGCGAATTTCTTTGATTAGGATTTACATAAATAATTAGACTCCAGACACCCTGTGTGGAAAGATACGCAAGGTTCCATATATAGAAATGTAGCCATCATCGTGCTTATTGATTATCATGGGGGGAGGGGGGAGAGGTGTTAACACTCGTAAGATTGTATAGAAATGAAGTAATTGGGATTTCCCTGCCCTAAGAGAGATAAATAACGTAACCTATATTAATCCAGAAGTAATCGTCAACCCTTGGTGACGAGCAGGATTACATGTATTATAACCGGAGAGTTTGCGCCAAGAGCACAGCGCTGACAAAACCAAGATAACACATATGACTTTCTCATTTTTCTCTTGACAGACAGGGTGATAATATTTTTAAAAAAGACAAACTCAACCCCAACAGACCAGTCATTCTGACAGCTGCTGTAAACGGGCGTGGTTTCAAACAAAATTTTTAATAAAAGTGCCGGCTTGGACATCGGCGCTGAAGCTGGTAATTGGTGATAACTATACGGTCACAGATTGGAGAAAAATGCCTGAAATTATTTAATTATTTGCAAGACGGGGACTGTGACTTTCATTATGGCCCATTAGGTCTTTGTGAATTGTAAAATTGCGTGTTTTGATGCCATAGAGCATCTTTTAACTCAGGTTAGATACCCAGACCTTGTTTATGCTGACAACAAGCAAGTGACTTTGTGACGTGGTCCCTAAACAATCTATCTTATAAATAAAAATGCTGAATCAGTCACGAATGTGGTGCTTTTATAAATTACGCAATTAAATGAATTCCGGAGTCTTATAGTCTAGAGTCATGCGGTATACAAATAGAAAAAAGTTGTGTGAGAGAGAGAGAGATAGTTGGGGGGGGGGGGGGAGAGGGACAATAAGTACATGTAACAATAATGATAATACCACTTCTGGAAAGCAACACATTTCCGACAAAAGACACATATTGAATCAAGTCGCTTTCATCTGCAATTCATCCATCGCGTTTTTAATACTTTACAAGACCACAGGTGTTGTTCGATAATTAAGTTGGGCCTTTTTATCATTTCCCATCCCACTGAAAACCTCTTTCCACAAACAAAATACTGGGCTTATATCTCCGTAGCATCGACAGTAATAAATTGCTATTTTGATGAAAAAGATTTCAAGAAAAAAAACAAATTATAGGGTAAACCGTGTAGTTAAAATGCAAACGATAAAATGAAACGTTTAGGCAGACAAAAATTAAGAAGACATAAGGAAAGCGTGGAAAATCTTTCGGATAAGTTAAAGTATGTACATGGAAAAAGTGGAAATTCGAACAGGATAAATATAGTTAATTAAAAGATATAGTCCATTTTATGTACATGGTAATCAACTGAAATAGTAAAACTGAACTGAGAGTCGCCAAACACGGAAGTGAATTGATTCCACGTGCTACAAATTCCTTCACTATCTTAGTTAGCAAAATCAATTGAATTTTCAATAATTTACGTGTTTTTAAATGAAATACAACATGCCTGCCAATTGAGAAACTCTGACATGTTAAATTTAAATATTTTGACAACATTCACCAACACAACATACTGGTAGTAATTGAACTGTATAAGGATGAAGTGAGTATATATTTATATTATTCAGTTGTTCAATCTTAAGCAAAATACCTCATAATAGAAGGGTTGGGGTGTATACATTTTTACTGAAAAAAAAAACAGCATCCCTCTAACCCCTACATACACAAAATTATATCAAAACCAACACAGGTGAATGCAAACCACGCCTCCCAAAGCAGAGCTAGCGCTCTATGCCATATTATCAGCGTTTTGATATCATCTTTAAAATAAAGGTGTTAAAACCATGATTTACGTTACTACACTGATGCACGTTCTGGGACCTTAACATGTGGAACCGTGACCCGTGTATGGTTATGACGGGCATGCTGTATCTCATCGCGTTCTGGAGAGGAGAAGGGTCTCATTAATCAGGTACCATGAACGAGACTTTGGTATGATACAATTTGAGTCAAGGCAGATGTATATGTAAGCCCTAAGTGTAGGCCAGCTAGCCAATGTTGATAGATTCACTTTCGGTGCAAGCGAGAGGAAGAGGTGTCAACACACACACAGTACATTCACGAGAAGAAAGAAAAGAAACCAGCATTAAAAAAAGTGCCAGGTGTGTTTTAAAATGTCGCGTGTCTTATTAGCTGTCCTTGTAACTAACATTCACATTGAAACAACGCGTGAGCCTGCTTTCGTTTAGCTGATTTAAAGAAAGGGGTTTACACAAGGGTCTGGGTTCAGATTCAATCGTAAATTGGCTCTATACTTTTGCTTCAAGATGTATAAAACTCATGGTTTTCTGTACGGGACAACTATTTTTGTTTTTAATAAATAATTGGATATAAATCATGTTTTGCACTCAGTTTGGAAGGTAAACGGCTAACATGCTAAAATAATAGGCACACAAAATCGCTTCAATGTGTATGGAAGTGCATACCAGAGAAATATTATCTCCGATTTTGTAAATAAATGGGTATAAATGGCAGGTTGCACCTAGATAGAGAGGAACACAAAGACTTGCAGAATATGCATGGGAAGCTAGGGATATGAATTATTAAACGGTAAGGTATGTTATCTACAATAAAATCCCTTTAATGCGTCTTGATGTTCTAGATTCGACGTGCTGAATTTTAATAGCCTTCTATCGACGTTAAGCCTTTTTCACTTCCGGTATCCAAGTCTCGACAGCGTCATTTCATTCTTAAGTTACACGCTCGGCAATTTTCTCTCGTTTTCCTGTACCACAGAAGCTGGTAATCTTTGAATGAGTCCCCTACACACAAAAAAATCATTGATATCTTAGGGATACGACACAGTATGCTATGCCGGGTATGTGGTGAAAGAATGCCCGAATGCCAAGGGCAAGTATGAGAAAGAAAACATAAACATGCTAGGTATACAACTTATAGCCGAATCGGCCACAAAACGTGAATTGCATAGAAATGCGCCAATTCGTCCTCATTTTGCATTACCTTCAGAGCCATTAACACTCAAGATGCCTTTGGAATATCACTTCCTCAAGTAGAAGTCGGTGACGAGGGTGCCAATATAGAAACAAAAAAATAGGAAGAGGGGGTTATCTATCCCGGAAAAGGGTCACGTAAGAAAAAATTTTGGTGACTTACCCTGTGCGTGACGTCGCCTTCTGTTCCTGCATCTGAGGACCTTTCCGAAACTGTGTGTAGAGAGACAATCGATGTATTCTCCGAAGATTTTCCGTCCTCTGAGACTGAGTTTGCGCCTTCCGCCATGGCGGGAGCGCTAGGAATACTGGTATCGTCTGCTTCTGAATTGTCTGCGGGATTTGTCCCGTGAGTTGAAGACGGAATGGAAGAGAGCGGCAGAGAGGCATTGTCTCCTTGACTTGAACCCGTCTGCTGCCCGGATAGAACTGCCAGTCTGGAAAGCGCTAGGTCGGCTCGTCTGCTCGAACCGGACCCAGCGTTCTTTTTGATAATTTGAGAGAAGAATTGTTTAGCAACGGGCATACCTCGCCCCCTTCCACTACCGCTACCTCTCCACTTCCCTGAAAGATCGTCTGCGGCGGAGAGTGCAACATTTGAAGCAGACGATGACTGAGGATTTGAATGAAAAGCTGGGGAGCTGGGTCCCTGTGGTGATCCCTGTGCTCTCGGGATATTCCCATTCGTTTTTCTCCTGTGTCTGTGTAACAGCCATAATGTCCTGTGTGTTGGAGGGGCCTCCGCCATGACAATGCTTACAGGCTGTGAGGCGATGTCCGCCGAAAGAGGGGCGGAGAATACACTCCATATTGCTCCTAGGAGATAGAGGTACGATAGCACACTCTCGGCGCTGAGAGAGGAACGAAATCTAAGAGTTATCCGCATATTTCTTCGCGTTGGCCTGCTTTGACATAATGTACCGTGTCCGTTCGTGAGGCAAGTCGTTCGCAGGATCGTTTCAGGCTAGAAAGAAAGATTACAACGTCATATCTGAGCTAAAATCGTAATTCATCTACCTTTCCTATATTGTAGGCCCCAGCGTTTTGTGACTGTATTTTGGTAGCGTCGACGGAGTCCTTACACGCGAGAGACTCCGCTTGCATGCAGTAAAATATCAACGCCGGTTATAGTTTAAGAAAAAAATGCAAAACAATGTAAAATCCGCCCTATCTTGTGTAGTCGACTACTTGTATGGTTGTAGCCCAGTCAGCAGTAACAGCAGGCATGGACTTAGTTTGTAAATGAGTATTTCAGGTCGTAAAAAAATGTCCTTACTTTTTCCCCTATCCTTTCCTTGCACATGGACCACTTGACACTTGAATCAATGCAGCTTGTGAAATTATTCTTCAGTAATTATAGAAATACTACTACGCAGGCTGGCTGTGCACCGCCTCGGGGCAGGCAGTTGACTGAAGTGGATTCCCAGCCGTTAAAAGAAATATCGCCCTCGGGGCTACGCTAAATCTCTCTTTAACTTCCAGTCGTCACCGAGTGTAAGTCCTACGATAGTAGACAGCGTAGTGCGTCAACGACAATGCTACTTCTGTAGTAAAAATAATTAAATCGCGGCGTTTTCAGTGGTCGTTCTGGTAGTGACGGTAAAACTGTTATTACTACCGAGAGCCCATATTAACATGGTATGTCCCAGTCCGCGGTGATATCGATGTTGGCTTCAACAATCAGCGGTTAATCTCACTTGTCCGGGTCCCACAATATTCTTTTTCGTACTTTATCAAAAATCGACGCAAAAAGTCAGTGAGTCCAAGAAAACACGACCTACTCCATGCGTCAGCCACGTTAAAAGTGAACCTCAACAGAGCTTGAAGGAAGCGGTATCTGATAGATTAATTGTTGTCATGCCCCTCTCGTGAGGCACCAGGCTTAATGGGTTGAGTCAGGAACGCCTCTGTGCGTCGAGATCTACCGTTAGCGAGAGTCTTTAAGCCAATAAGGGTCGTTTCTCAGTTCTGGCTCTTCTACTGCGACGGCTGTGCGAGGTCTGGGGTTAAGTAGCGTTTCCTCTCTACTCCGCCGAAATCCAACGTGTGGTCAGATATTATAATTTCACAGCTGCCTGCGCTTGGTCGCGTTTGTCGCTCTCCTGAAAATAACAGAAGGGGAAAGGAGGTCCTTAAGTCGCTTTTATCGAAATTATCATCTTTTATATGCAAGATAGACAGATTCCTCACTTCTTCAGCAGTCAGATGACCGACCTCCCGAACCGCATCGCTCGCTTGTTATGTGTCACTGATACAAGAGAGAGAGAGAGAGAGAGAGCGAGCTTGATTTTACCTCGACAGTATCGTAAAACGAAAGGCCAGCCTCTCTCCACTTTAAAACGCTCGTAGAAAGAAAGAGATTAAAATGTGCCTTATAAATATATGTATGCAAATTACGTGTAACAGAGGGTTCACAGCATTATGCTCTATAAGCTTTAATACTCCAACACGCGGTGGAATATGTATGCACCTAGGTCGGTTATTTATAATATTGCCTGCCACATGTCATGAATTAAGTTTTATCAGCGATTTAAAAGCGACCCGCCCTTAATGTCTGTTTATTAGCCTCACGCATTACCCTAAGTTGATAATTAGCCACACTAGACTAACAGTAAATTGGTGTGAATTGTTTGCACGCGTCTACGTATGTGGGTAGAGGCTTACGCGCGCACGGGAAAACGCGCACACGAGCAAGTGTCGATGTATACGCATTGTTTTTTTCTTTTCTTTATCTTTCTGCCTTTCCCCGTCCGTCCTCTCTCTCTTTCTCTCATCCCATCATCTAATATTTATCAATATTTTGGAATCACACTTGATTTTTTGCACAGTCAAAAGTTATACTCTTTCTCTCTCTCTCTCTCTCCTCATTAATATCTGCAGAAACTAATACGCCCACACAAATCCCCACAAACAATAAAAACACCTTCAACAATTAACACACCCTGTCAAATAAACGAAACCCATATCTTCTATTACTACGTGTATTAGGCACCGCCTTCAAATCCTTGTAATAAAATGACATTAATTGTAAACGAATACTTTACGGTTATCTACCTTCGTCTTTATATTTAACAGCAGAAACGGCCTTGTCACTCTGACTGAAAATGACTAAATGACGCATGGCGTGTTAGAACAGGTATTTTAAGGTCTTTTAATGTGAGATTAAAAACCCAATAAGAAAGAGACATTCTGACATTATTAAGTAGTGACGGGTATTAAGGCGCCGTGACAAATTGGTGCGCTGTGCTATTAAACCCTCAAAAAGGTGAGAATAAATTTGTTTCGGAACTTTATTGTTTATTGCCCTCGTCGTGCCTCGACTGAAGAACGAGACTGGTTGCGATGAAGGACTTAGTATTTTTATTGATATTGATTGATAAATAATGTTGTACAAATTATTTGAGACCACTCCCCCCCCCCCCCCGTCCTTAAAATGCTCTGAATATTTCTCAAGTAAAATATCTTATCGAACAATTCTGTGATGAAGTAGGAAAAAATAAACTTCCGAATTGTTTTTAAATGTGTTCACAATTTTCTTATTTAATACGTCATTCTTAGTCATCAGTTTTCTGCGTTCTTTGTGAAGGAAATGAGTGGGAAAAATAGCGGCATATTCACTCGCGAAAGGTTTCAATTTACCGCTTGCATGGACATCGATTTAATTAGGTACGACAACGACCACCATGATGCAATTTTATTTCGATTTATTCTAAAAATAAAATTTACCTTTACGTAGGTACTATCTGTCTCTTTTTTTATCAAAACTGAGCATGCCAAATTGGTAATTTGTTATTGTGTTGCATTATTCAAATAAAGGTATTTCATTATTACTGCGTAGATCTCAGCAGAGGTGACTTGAAGTATATAAAGAAGAAAAATTAATTAAAAGACATAAACGTTTACATTATCCTGCGACTAAAATTGTCATATTGTTTCAAAATGCCCCACCAGTCTCGTATTAAACAACGGTTATTTCATAGCACGAGCAGGGTCTCGCTATCAATGTCAAATCACAGTTTTAAAATCGACAGTTTTCTCAGCCACCAACAAAAACATTAGCATTATAGAGACGCGAGACTCAAAGCATTAATTTCAACATAAGGGTAATAAATTCATGCGCCCCACGTAAAATATTTCCGTGGGCAATTACTCCAAAATTAATATCTTTTATTTGTAAAATGATGATAAACCTAGCGGTTGCGTCCTTGAAAAAACAAAGGCTTTGGGAAGAAAAGTACGAATTAAACAAATTGGTCTGAGAAGATGATTTTGTCTAGTAAATTTTCTTTGCTGACAAGGGCATCGTTAGTCAGCAGCCAAGATAAAATAATGTTTATATTTAGATTTCTTTGTAGCGTGTTTTATATATTCTTCCTTGTTTTTTGTTTCGCCTTCCTATTTTCTTGAGTTTGATTGTGAGTGGCTGTGCGAACGTGTCCTGTTTCGACTTTCTATACATTATATTTCTCTCTAACTCTCAACTTATCGTTTGAACCACGATTCCACGATACTCGATGCGAAACCCATTGATCTCTCTCTCTCCTTCTCTCTCTTTCACACACACACACACACACACACACACACACACACACACACACACACAATTCCCCCCTCTCTCTATGTCTCTCCCTCTCTCTCTCTCTCTTTCATTTATTCCCTCTCTCTTTCATTTTCATGTTCATGTCACCTACGTTAGCAACAATATGCAACTTGAAAAAGTATGATACACAACTCATTGCTTGATTTCCATGGCAACATGCTATAGACACCAGAAACATCTCGAGAAAAAAAAAAAGCCCACTCACCTAAAAGTGCTTTGCAGAAGTACATCAATCTCCGTCATTCTTGCTTGTGCAGTATCTTGTAGAAATGCATTGAAATGACTTGCCAATGACAACAGTTACCCGTCTACGGGGGTTGTCAGGGGAGACTTCACAATAACGGAATTAATTTGTTCAGTGGGGGAGAAAAACATAGGCGGACAGGCTATCCCACCTTTAAGAGAACAAAAATACTTGACATTTTCTCAAAAGGACAAATTCATGGTCGAGGTGTCACAGCGGAAGATGATCAGCATTTCCAAGCTATACATCACCCAGAGGCCGTTCGCCTACATCACGCTGCGTCACACCACGCAAAAAAGTGCATAACGTTCCCATTGTCTCTCCCCAAAATTTCCGCGACCGCCCATCACGTGACAGTGGAGTTCTCACGGGCGGAGGAGCAGAACTTTAGACAAGGGATTCCTAGTCATGAACGCGCTGAATGCCCCGTAATTAGATATTAATGATATGGTATCGTTGAACAACAGTTAAACAGGAAAAAACGGGACCCTTAACCCCCCGATAACCGACGCTGCTATGCACATATCTTCCCGCTCGTTTTTTCCTTCTTTTATGTGGTGACATTTCACGTAGTCATTTTAAGTTCTCTTTGAAGTAACAGAAGGGCGGTTTGCCTTTAGATCAAACTGATAACATTTAACATTTGTAACTATCGAAGGCATTAGAAAATACCCCAAAAAGACGAAGAACAGATAAGACAATTTACAAGCTGTGTGTAAATTTTTATTTATGATTTTCTTTTGGTCTGCAGTTACAAAGATACATACATTTGGACTTCAAGTTGGATATCTTTTTTAATAAATATAATTAAGATGTACTCTAATACATAATTTGTTGTTTCATTTTTCAAAAGCTAAGAATCATCCACGATTATAAAGCTTCACATACAAATCGTGATAGTTACAGCGAATTTGAATCTAAATTATGAAAAAAGACATTTTAAAGATAAACTATATAAGTAAATGTATTTTGTTTGCTATATCTTCCCTGTTTCCATGAGATAAAAGTGGTAGCTTAAGGCAAGTATAAATAAAGAAGTAATTGAATAAACACTACTGACGTTAAATCCAATATAATTGACCTCAGAAATAATATTCAAGTCTATACACGATATCAATTGGTATTATACATAATTTATTACCAGGAACATTTAATGATGTATAAAATGTATATCAGTGCCTTAACCACCAAGAGAAAAATTGATAACTATCAAATACATGAACATGTATGAACAGCAAGAAAGAAATAAAGGCATTGGGTGAATTTTGTTTACTTACAACCCCATCCTTCTAAAAAAAAAAAAAGTCCGGTTCGGTGTATGTTGAAAACAAAGTAACAGACTCTCCTTAAATGGTCAATGGTTATTATCACCGAAGTTCTGAACTAGCACGAGGAAGTGCATTTTATTCACTCCACATTTTGTAACCGCCAAGATGTTTTATGATAACAACATCGAAAACTACGGGTTAAAAAGGAGGAAGCAGACCCCCTTTTTTTCATAACCAGCTCTTGACTGTAGCTATCTGATCAAAGGCGGATAAGTATATGCCAATCTTTTATTTCCCCCGTCACATGATTTAAAAGTATTTTATCATATCATATTTTTGTCTCAATTTATTTATTTATTTATTTATTTATTTATTTATTTATTTATTTATTTAAAATTCACAGATTTATCCAAAATGTAAAAGCTAATTTGACCTCCAATCATAAATATGCACTTGCTCATTTCATACATGTACAAATTATATTATTATGATTGAAATATATTTTCCTGAAACTTGAGCAGCCTGAGTCATTCCCAAGATCATGGCAAGACTAAGGGGCACATGCACCCAAAACTTAACGGGGAGAGCTCGAGGATATGACCTAATTGCGTCTTGATTTACTGGTGACAGCAATGTCCTTTGGTTCATTGATAATATAGGAGGGCGTGTTAGGATGATTTATTTCAGGAAATAATCCCACCGTCTATTTAATAAATAGAAAATACACACGTAGTCCCTTTTGGCATGTTGGCCTAGCAAGAATATTAGACAGTTTGCAATGCGGGACATTTACTGTGTTTTGATGATAAATGCCTAAGCACTTTCAAGTAAAGATTATGATGGATAAATGATCACCATGAAAAAAATGGTTGTGATAATAAACCTGGAAAGGACAAACGTGGGACGTTAGTTTTGTATCATTTACTCTTTATTTATCTTTCTTTCTTTCTCTCCCTCTCTCAAAGAAACAAACAAACAGACAAACAAACAAACAAATAAAAACTGGGATGTCAGTTCTTGTCTGAGCACCATATCATGCAAGTTTTATTATCTTTTTCCTCGTAAGAAAAGGGGGATGTGTTAAAATGGTAAAGTCGAGCGGATTTTTGGGCTTTAATTAAATTAAACACGGGCAATGAATAATTTGACATCTGCATCAGATTATAAATATAAAACGACTAGAAAAGCATTCAGAAAGTGCAGTCCACCGCCAAAGCAACTCAATTCTCAATAACCATTTAATGATTAGTTAATCAATTAATTGATAAATACAATTCTCGTCTTACAAATTAATTATCAATGAACTAACTTAATCAGATACAGCACATTCCCTGTCCTGAAAATTTTTATCAAAATTTTGAATAAAAAATACGGAAGCGAAGAGCAACCTCCTTGGCGAAGGTAGATGTATATAACTAGACCTACAGTGTTCACCCAACATGTGAAATGAAATTTATATTATTAATATAACTTACAAGAAAAGGAGTCGTGAGGGGGCACCCGGATTTGAACCGGGGACCTCTCGATCTGCAGTCGAATGCTCTACCACTGAGCTATACCCCCACTTACGAACCACCTCTTCTAAAAACTGATTCTTAACTTAAATTTTAATATTGCACAATCATGAAAGATGTCTTTCCTCTCCATCTTTCCATTTTTATATAAAAAACTCTACTATTATATTTATACATGCAATCTTATTGAAATCCCATTGAAGTAAGGGTGTTAAAGCGGACAGTTCTCTTCCTACAATAGAGTAATACCTACTCTGGGTGATTTATAGTTCTGATGAAATGTTTGGGAATACACATGGATAGTTGTTCTGATTAACAAGCAGAAACACTCAAGCAACGGACAGATTGGTTATTATACTATACAAAAGATATATATTTGAAATACCAATTCAAAATGTAAGGCACAAATACACTTATATGAAAAACAATCAATTAATGCGGGAATGCGACAAAATACATTGTATAATAAAAATAAATGTACGTGTAAATACAGTGACAGAAAATTTCTTTACATTATATAGCAAACATAAATGCACGTGTAAATACAGTGTCAGAAAATTTCTTTACACAAAGACGCACATAAAAGATCTAATGTAAGATTCAAAGTAAACAATAAAAATTAAAAAAAAATAGAAAGAAAAGTTACAAAGACAAACGGAGGCCACCTGCAAATAAATCACCCCCCCCCCACACACACACACACACACAATTTTTTGAAAAAAAAAATTTTATTACAACTGTAACCAACATTAGTCCACCTATGCCAAAGCACACGTGCCGTGATTTTGATATCTTTCTCAGGATAACTTGCAGTGCAAACACATTAGGCATTGCTCCTCCTTTTTACGGATCAAACAAACAACTTAATTTGGCTAAATAACGGGGTTCCTTATCAGAGAACTCCCTAAGCTTCGGCAAACCTTCTGAAGAGCGCATTCTTGTGGTCGGCAGCCATATTGTGGCGGATTGATTTATGCCGCGCTGCGAGAGTAATCCGGTCCTTATTGATCCACAAGCCCTTGAAATACTTACGTCGTAGAAGCATCTTGACATTTTGAATTAATCAGGGTAACTTTTTGGTTGAACAGATTTGTCATCAGCAAACAATGAGGTGGATTTTATTCATAATCTTATCAGAATGCGATAGATTAGCAGACGACTTCAGCCACAAAAACGCGCGATATGCGGAACTGCTTGACAAGATCTCGAGTCTATGGTGTAGGGCCTACATCTTATCGTATCTAGGTCTAGAGATTTAATCGCTTCTGGCGATCTTCAGATCTTAAACGGAAATCACGAATTTCGTCAAGATCAAATAATCCCAAATAGCTTTGACGTTTGCCATGAAAGATATACTTATTCGTGCCTACATGAGGGGAGAAAATTCGTCACTATTGAGTTAACAACGCTGTCACATATGCCTTGATCTTAACAGCAGATACCTTTTGGATATTTTTTTTTCTTTTTTATATAATTAGATTAACATATATATGGCGTAAACATGGCGAACGACAAAAACGTGGATATGATAAACATCAAACTTTGGAAACCGATAAATATCCCGATTCAGTGAAATTTGCAAATGGAATCGATTAATGACGTTGACGTTTTCCGAAGAAAATCGAAAAAGTGGAGATATTAGGTTGAAATGTTGAATACCACAAATCTCTTCCGGCCCGTAGCCAGCAATTTCAAAAGGGGGGTTCTTTTTCTGAAAAAGTGGACCTTTTCCCATAAAAAAACATCATGCACCTAGATCAAATTTTACCCAGAGTGGACCTTTTCCCAGCAAAAGGGGCGGTTCTTTCGAACCCCCCGAACCCCCCCTGGCTACGGGCCTGCTCTCTCTCTCTCTCTCTCTCTCTCTCTGTTCCTCGGTCTGTCTCCGCTGCACTTGATAACACGTTGTATTATGTATGCGAATGCGCAGTCATTCAGACACGACGCTGAGGCGCTGAAACTCTCCTTATCTTCAGTAACCATTCACTGACCTCTGAAAAGTGCGAATTAAGTCTAGTTATTTAAGTTGTAATTTATACATGCAATGACAGCTTCCAGCGTCAGGTGTTTTATGTCTCCTTTAAATGACGTTGAACTGTCTTGAAGTTAAAGAGTGCAAACTTTGTATCATACTAAAGTAAGTTTGTTAATGAAGAGCATTATATATGAATTAAATACGCCATGTTGACATATATTAACTAACTAATTTCAACTTTTAATTTGGAAATGAGTTTGTTAATTAACTGTTTTGAAAAAATGGAAAGTAATTAAGTAAACCCCTGACAAAGGGGAGGGGGGTATCGAAAACGCAACCAACATACACTCTCATGTAGTAGAAGAATAATAAAGAAAACAAGAAATAAAATGCTTCCTTCAGATAGCATCAAGACCCTTTTTATTCGTTCTTTTTGAATCTTAACTTCTACACGTATTCCTGCCCCTATTGCTTAAAGTGAATTTATGTTAATT